GGCAAAACAAAATGGATGCGTACGAAAACTTCCCAAGCACGTTTAATCTGTAAAATTGTGATGAAATTTAGTGTATCAGTGCTACTATAATTGCACCAACCTAATAATTTTATGAAATGAAAGTCGTGGAATGAGACGTCCAAAAAAAATATTAGGACAAAGGGTGACCCTTATAATTGAGACCACGCATGCTGTGTGACGTAGTTCCATGGTGTTGCTGAAACCCTTCAAATAGTGATGGATTGGGATGTACAACTTTGCCATTGTTTCTTTGGGAGTGCATGTTTATGTTGTGAAACATTTTGAATTGAATTTCATTAAAGGAGGGAGAGAAAAAGAGTACATATATCTCGAGAGTAATATTAGGAATCCCAAATAATCCATCAAATTTTCTATCAAATCTCTTACATAGGTGTGAGACCCACACACATGTGGGTTTGTGTAAGTTCACACCCATACGAAAGATTTGGTAAAAAATTTGATAGATTATTTAGGATCTTAGCATTTTCCATATCACAGCAGTGACTGATAGGAATTGAAGGGACCACTCTTCCTTCCTTGATATGAAATGAAGGGCATCAAATGTCTAGGGGGTGGGTTGGGGTGAGAGTGGAGCCCCACTAAAGGAGAAGTTATTTAGTGCCGTTGGACATGATCACTTGGTGTTCCAACTTGAACATGCTTGGTCGAAACGATAAGATCGACTAATTTATGTTGGTGATGGATGCCCATCATAGAGGGTTTAGCATGGCCATGTGGTGCCCATGAGGCACCAAATAATTTCGTCACCTAAAGAGACAAATTTGCTGGCATTGATGAAGAGAAGAAGAGTGCAAAAGAACAGGATGTTTAGGTATCCAAAGTAGTGAAGGAACAGGGAGAACATAAACATATTTTGGGTAAATGTTCCTAACACAAAACCCACAATTATTCACATCACCTCTAAAGAATACAAAAATGTAGGATTTATAGGTATCCAAAGGAAATAGCATGGATAAAATCAAGGGAGTTTAGCTGAATCACAATTAACTTATTTATTATTGTTTTAACTTTACACTTTATTGAAAGGTCAACAGTTTGACTCTACCCTCCTCTAAACCTATGGCCTCCAATGTACTCTCTTTCCTTGCACGCGTTTAAGTGTGCAAAACAACCACAAGCCAATTTTTTGAATAAGGTGAAATCATTTTTATCCCTGTGTTTTAGTCTAGGAGTACTTTATTTATTCTACTATCATTTAAAAATATGCAATTCTCCTTTACATTGTTTGGAACTAAATAATGGAAATCATAACTTCTCTTCCTCCCCAGCGTTAACACCCAACCAAAATAAAAATATATATGATCAGATGATTTAGGTTTAGTGCTCCATATTAGCTCTCTTATTCTTTTATTTTTTTTCGAAATATTGAATCACTCATGATTGTTTCTTAGAGATTGAAAACCCAACACTAGCAAGTGGGAGTGGTGACAAAGGACAGGAGGAGGAAGGAAGGGTGGTGGGGAGGTGGCAGGTTAAGTGGGAGAGGTGGCAAGAGAGGTGGTGGTGGGAGAGGGGAAGTGAGTAATAGTTAAGATTTTTGGGTTAAGAGTTTAAATAGAGTAAGAAGATGATGAATCACAAAGTCTTCTTTTAATTTTGAAATTAATTTTAAATCTTCAAAAAATTTCATGCCAACTTTTGCAATTGGTACGTGTGGCACCATTTTCATCATTCGGATGGAATTGGTGGCAATAAGTAGGTAAAGTGTGCAAGATGAGTTAAAATCAAATGGAGATATTCTACACTATATTTATTCAAAATTTCAAATATGAGAAGGGTAGGTTGAAGATTTTGCTATTGTTAATAATATTCCGATACAAGTTTTTAATGAATCGTTCCATCACTTATTTTAGAGAATAATCTACTTTCCTTTGTGATTTTGATCAATTTACACTTCATCACTTTCTCCAATGATGTTAAAATTATATGTTAAAGTATGTGTTATATGATAAAAAGTATGAAATGTGAGACTTATTTATGTGTCAATTGTTGGTTAGTTTAGAAAGTGGGCGTGTACTCCTCCAATGGTATAGTTAAGATGTGTGTTGAAGTGTATAATATATATATATATATATACATATATAAATAAAATGATAAATTACAAATACACTCCAGAGATTAGATTAAAATATAAATTGTTTCTTGTGATTGTAGAAATTACATTCCACCCCTGAGATTTCTAATTTCATAACAAATCGCTCCTTTTATTAATAAATCATCACGTCAATTCCCTGAGATTTCTAATTTCATAACAAATCGCTCCTTTTATTAATAAATCATCACGTCAATTAACAGTTTTTAACGATGTTAGAAATATGTTTTAATTAATAATTTAGGTAATTTTATTATTGTATAGGAGAGGAATTATGAATTTTGTTTTTTTTTAATTAATTCTATTAAATAAAAAAATTTGACAATGGGGTATTTGTAATTTTCTAAATCACAAGAGGCAATCTATATTTTAAGGGCATGTTTGGTAGCCATTTCGTTTTTCATTTTTAGTTTTTAGTTTGTATTTACAAAAAATTTAAAAATTGTCATAAAAACTTGTTTGATAATTTTTTTTGATTTATAAATGATTGTCTCAATTTGTAAATTTGAGAAAAAAATGTAAACTCAAAAAATGAGTTTATGTTGGTTTTTAAACAGAAATTTAAAAATTTAACTAATAATTTTTTTTTCAATTATTTTTTTTTCAATTAATATTTTTTCAATTATAATGTGTACCCATTGTCATAAATAATAAAAAATAAATATAAATATTTTAGGCTTGAACAAACATATTTTTTTAATTTATATTTTTAAAATTTTTCAAACATTATGTTCAAACCAAATGTGTTTGTTGTTTATATTTTTCTAAAACTAAACAAAAACTAATTTATAAAATTTTTATAAAAATAAACAAAAAATATAAACGTTACCAAATACTACTAAGTAAATCTCAAAAAAATATATTTGTAATTTATTTTAAATAAAAAATCATGTAAGACCCAATTTTCTTTTCACCTCTCTCTTCCCCCTCTTTGCCCTTGCTGTAGCTGTCGCAGCGGAGAGCCGTCTCTCTCTCCCTTTTTTGTGTCTTTCTCTCTCTTTCCACTTTGCTAAATGGCTCTCGACAATTAACATCAATTCAAGTTAAAAGCTTACTCACATGCAAGTTAATTTTAAGCTACTAAAGCTTAAAAGCATCTACATCAGATTCTTTACAATAATTAGCATAAAATTTATTTTTCATCAAACTCGTTATATATTTCCTTTATTTTGTCAACGCTATAGTTCCTCTCCTGATGAAGCAAGTTATTGTTCATCGCTACAACACAGTCGGTCAACCAGTCAATGACAATTTTTTTTTTTGATTGCATTTTTTAAGAAAATAACAAACAGAAAAATAGGTACTAATTTTGCATTTTTTGCATTTTTTAAGAAAATAACAAATACAATAAGAAAATAATATTTAAATAAAATTAAGTTAGAATAGAAAATTTGATACAGTAGATACTAAAAAGATGACTAATTAAAGTAGAAAAATAAATTTTTAAACTCTAATTTAACTAAAACTTGAGGAGGCTGGTGTGAATGCTCTATCTAATCCATTGGAGACTCGTTTTACCAAAACATGTCATTAACTGACATCGTCAGTTATTGTATGACACTAAAACCAGTGGGTTAGCAAACCCCACGAAAGTTGCTATTACGATAAAGCAAATCAATTCAAATTTATAAAAATTGTGCCACATGCACTTATTTTAGAAAGTTAGCGTTAAAAATAAATATATAAATCAAATCAAAATCAAATTTCAATAGAAAAGACAATGGGTATGTTTGGTTTGGATTTGTAGAGTGATTTTGGAAAAAAAAATTTAAAAAATTTGTTTGATTTGTAAATTTTTCAAAATAATTTTCAAAATCACACTCTCTCTCTTACCTATCAATCAATCATTTTTTTTCTCTCTTCTTTCTTTCTCAATCATTTTTTCTCTCACACATATCTACTCAATTATAACAAAATATCAAATCATTCCAAACTCCTAAACTCCAAAACTACTTTCAAAATAGACAGTGGCTTTGGTCCAGTCCAAGATCGGACTGGACCATGCTGTTGGGCCCGTGAAGGCCCACCACGGGTCCCGTTTTGATAATCCGAACCGTTCAATGTGTAGAACTCGTCGAATACTATATGGCTGTAAAAAATCACGTTGATCGGATATCGATAGCTATGTAAACAAAACAGTTTTTTATAACCGTTAATTTTTTCACCGTCCATTTTTTTTATACAAAACTGATTTGATCACATAACTATTGATATCCGATCAACGTGATTTTTTACAGGCATATAGTACTCGACGAGTTCTACACATTGAACAGTTCAGATTATCAAAACGGACCCAAAAAATAGGCCCCATAGGCCGGACTAGACGGACCCAGTCTTGATCTCAACTTGAGACAAGCTGGACCCTTCAAAATACACAACCAAACAAATCAAAAAAATTTCTAAACTCTCTCCCCAAAACAATTTTTAAAAACTACTCTCCCAAAATCAAACCAAACATCTTCTTCCTGCTTCCTCCTAACTACTATGAAACCATAACCCTTCATCTTCTCCTACCTCCTCAACCATCCAACCACCACCATTGCCACCACCCATTTACATGTGTAATCAAGTACAGCACCTTGTAATTTTATGCCATTCGCAAAATCTGCCAAACTTTTCAGCACATCATTCGCCATGAATTAACGTGAAACAACATTCATTTTTGCAGAGCAGAGAAATTAATATCCAAAAATTCAGAAGACATCAACTGCGTTGAATCAAGGCAGATTTAGCAAGAGCATGAGCCATTTTCCCTCTACCTAACTTTTTGTGTAAATGTTGAAAATTTTAAAAACAAAATCCAAAAATAGCCTAAAGGGTGTAAACAAATTTTCATGCTCCAGAAACTAGGTTGGGATTAAAAGAATGCATTAAACAGCAGAATGAGCTATTTTTCATTTTTCCTCTTTATTTTCTTTTTTTTTTCTTTAAAGAACAATATTGTTACACAGCACAGATAGAATCTGTCCCACACAAATAATTTGTATCACGAATTTTAATATACACCATGTACATATGAGAATTAAAAGGAATAAAGCTAGGGTTTTCGCCTCAGCAACACTTGGATCAGACAAAGAATATGTGCTTAAAATCTTCTAGCAATTAGTCAGTAGCAATTGGATTTTGAGACAGCAATAGCCTTCACTGGCTGACAAGTACGATGATCACCCCGGTCCATGAAGCTGACCCCTGGTCACCCCCTTGTCAACAACATTTCAAGAAAAAAAAATGAGGGAAGGTGGTAAGAGGCTAGCATATGGGAAAAGGCATCGGCAAATCAACCTGCAAAATACAAAATCCAAACGCACTGTTCAATTGGGACATGAATCGTACTATAGGTAGAGCTTGAACTCAATGAAGCTGTGCAATTCACAAGAAGGCCATGCCAAACACGTGAAAGAACATAAAAAATATTTTACAACACATGAAACTAAAAGTTTTAAGAAAAGCAGAGAACAGTTTTCATGTCAATGAATAGTTGAAAGAGAGAGAGATTTCCTAACAATATATTAATTTTTAGTATCAGTATTACGAGTAATATTTGGAACTAAGTTGCATCAACACTAAAATTTAATCCTTTCACCATCCACTCAGATAATCAAAAGGTCCTCAAAAAGATTTTACAAAACTCTTGCAACCGACAAGACCTTTACCCACATCCATTCACCCAATCCAGGGTTTAGTTTAGCAAATATTCCCAAAACAAAAAGAAAACAAAAAAGCTTAAATAAACAAGAAATAATAATTACAATTATAATGTTTTGTCAGATTAACTGGTAAGGATTCTTTAGTTGGCTAAGTGGCTCAGACATATATAGGTTAGAATCATTTGATCCCCTCAGCATTTACCAATGCACGTGGTTTGTGATAGTCTGGGGACTTGGGAACTTATTTCAACCCAAAATCAGTTGGGGCACCCTCGCATACCCCATGTTTATTTTTTATGTCTAGAGATCTTTTGAGCCCAGTGATCAAAAGATTCTAAAGAGAAGACTAGTATTGTGTGAAGTCATGTGCACGGCACACATCTAAGAAAAATAATCCAAAAAATATCAAGTTCACAAAGAACCAAGAACCATAGTAACGATCATAAAACAATCAGATTGAGAAAACGAAACTAGTAATTTCTTTCTGACTTTCCTACCTTCTTCAGAGAAGACAAATACACCTCCAAGCATATCATCATCGTCCCCATCTTCCTCAGATTTCTCCTTGTCGCAAGGACTATTACTGCTGTCAACATCAGTAACAACTTCTGTTAATTCGGGGCATTCATCTTGAATTGATGCTTTACAGTATTCCTCTTCAAAATATTGCCCAAAATCTAGTGGGTCATGCATATCATCATGCACTGGCCCCTCGTCAAGAATATTCATACTCAAATCGGAACGGTTGGAGCTTGAGTTTGAAGCTTCACTGGTCACAACACTACTTGAAGACGGAACCTCAGCGGCTGTAGTTCCTCCAGAAGGTGCACCAGCTTTTGGTAAAGAAGTATTTATGACACGACTTTCTTCAACAGAAGAAATGCGAGAAGTTGATATATCAGCTTGTTTGAAGGACCTTTTGTACAGTGGAGGAGACAATAACATGGCATTATGTCCTTTAACCCCATCACTCTCATTTGCAGTTAGGACAATGTGAGGATAAGACCTCAAACTATCAGTTTGATCTAAATCATTTATAGCTGCAGGTGTTTTTGATGACCCTGATGAAAATGCCAATGGTATTACGAGTTAATGACTTAATATTAGTACCAAGTTTTAACATAATCACGTAATAAGAAAGGTGAACTTCAGAAACAAAAAATAAATAATAAAATAAATAAATAAATTATCTTACCAACATCCAGATTTTCAAGTGAGCCAGGTGACACTAGCTTAGTATGGGAAATCACAGCATCTTCTGAAAACTTCTCTTTACCACCATGAGAAGTAGAAGATAAAGTCGAATATTTCCCCCCAACCAGGCCCCTGAAGAAAACATCAAAGGAACATCTTAACACATAACAAACATTAGTCATAAATTAACCAGCAAACCATTGAAAAATTCCATGAGTGGCTCTAAAATCATGTTAATAAGAGAATCCTTTTGTTCATGAAACATCATATGACCACAGAAAGAACCCTCTAGGCACCATGGTTTACTCAAATGCCACAAACTATGTCAATCACTGATATAAGCAAACCAAAAAGGTTGTGAAGTTTTCACATGTAAATGTTCCAAAAAAATATATATAGTTTCAGAAGAGCTTCTGAGAAATCTTCTCCCTTGAACATTCATAAACCCACATGGAAGTTCCAGCATAAAGCTTAAAGAATATCATCACATCTTTCCACTACTTGGGAAGACAATCTCATTTAGACATAAAGAACTCATTTTTCAGGTCAAACATCTTCTGCTGCAACAAATGGAAAGGAAAAGAAATAAAAATAATTATTTTCCCCACATTTATGTACTTGAACCTAATCCTTGGTATTCATGTAGGCTGTGGTCATAAACTATAAAACAGTAGTGGGAGAAGATGATCTCATTTTAATCTAAAGTACTCATTCTTCAGGTCACATCTTCCCTCAAAAATCTTCTGCTGAAACAAATGGAAAGGAAAAAACTGAAATAATTATTTCCCCCATGTTTATGTACTTGAACCAAATCCCAAGTTTTAAAGTACGCTGTGGTCATAAACTATAAAACAGTAGTGGGAAAAGAGACCACTTGAAATCCCCATTTGGGAAGGCAGCCGACTACCACCAAACAAGGTCCTATGTCTAGAAAATGGTCAAAAGATATTGTGCATTATAAATTCGTCTCTTCGCTTAGATGACTGGTTCTGTTCTCTTTCTACAGCATTTAAGGTACAGATCCATCTCCCAGAATGAAGCAATGAATAGTATTACTAAATTACTAATGATGGTAAAAATCTAAAACTACATGGTTCCAATATATATCATAAAGATGAAACTGAGTCTGCTACATAAATTCATGAAATTACTTGAAATATAAAATGGATTCATCTTTAATGCTACTATAAACAATAGAATGGCCACTGATTCCATATCAAATAACCAAACCAAACTAATTCTTGTATCCCAATCAAGTGAGGTCAACTACATGAATCCTTTTTTTCACCATTCTGCTCTGTCATTATGGTGATCATATTACTCTACCTTACTGTTGCATCTAGAAGTCTTTGATGTACGTGACCAAACCCTCTTAGCATGTTCTCTTTCAACTTATCTTTAGTAGATGCCACTCCTACAACTCATTTGTATATTCCCTGGTCTTATAACACATCCATCTAAGCATTCACCTCTAAGCTACACACATTTTATGAATGTAAAGCACTATTGGCCAACATAATGTTCCATAAAGCATCACTGACCTTATCTATAAAAAATTTCTTTGAATTTTTCTGGTATTCGTTGATGAAATTAAAATGTCAAATGCACTTCTCCATTCGAGCCGACTTATTTTGATTCTATAGACACATCATTTCCAAACTAACCATCTTTATTCATAATCAAACATAGGTAAGAAAATATTCACTATTTGTTATCTCTTGGTTTTCAATATTCACTTCTCCATTATTTCTACTTATACGGTCACAAAAATAACATTCTACATATTCAGTTTTATTTTTACTAATTTTAAACTCTTTTTGACTATCTCCTTATTTCTAGTTTAATGTTAATTCCTTGCTCCGTTTCATCCATTAAAACAATGTCATCATGAATATGTTTAGTTAATCCATCCATGACTAAGCAAATATATACGGACTCAAATATGACCCTTGATGCAACCTTACAGTGATGGGAATTTCACTAGACCTAATTATAGGTGGTGTTTGGGAACTTGGGTTTAGGATTTTTTTTTATTTTTTCCACTAAAAGATAAACTTTTTGCAAAACCAAAAAAAATACATCCAAATAAAATATCACATCCAATCCCATAAACGTTTCACTTTTTCTCTTACAAACATTACATCCAACCACAAAAAAACCCAACTATCTTCCCAAACACAAAAAAATTTCTCCAATAATATCCTACAACTTAAAAAACTTACATAAAAACCCACTTCCCAAACACCTACATAGTCGCAACTCCATCATACATGTATTTTATTGCATCAATATACCCATTGGTCACACTATTTTTCTCCAACAGCCATATTATATTTCTAGAAATCCTATTATAAGATTTTTCTAAATCTATAAAAATCATATGTAGGTCCTTCCTTTTCTCTCTATGCTTTTTTATTACTCTTTTTAGTAAATATATATTACTTCTATAGTTGATTTACTGGGCAAGGGTGTAAACGGTTTGGCTTAGTTGGTGTTGAGGGTAAGTTTAGCACCGAACCGAATCTTTTGGTTTTGATGTTTAAGGAACCGATACAGACCGTATGCTATGGTTCAGTTTCATCAGTTTTGTCGGTTTGATATAGAAGAGGGATTTACATGAGGTTTTAAGGGTTTATAAAAGTTTGAAGAATTTCGCATTGAAAATAAATAAAGAAAATGTATGAAAGTTCATCTATAAATGTTTATCTCTAGTTTTTATCACAAAAGTGTATTATATTAATCACTAATCTTATAATGCTTAAAGAATTAAAATATAAAAGTACTTATATATAATATTCAGTCGGTTTGGTTTACATTAGTATAAAAAATTTCAAAACTAAAACAAATCGTATGTTGTGAAAAACAGACCGAAAACTAAAATTTCGGTCGATTTTGATTGGTTGGTTCGGTTTCATCCGTTTTTCTTACACCCCTATTAATGGGCATAAATTATATGATCCATTAACTCAATATCACTACAGTTATTGCAATTTTCAATATCTTCTTTATTCGTCAGGCGTTCCCTAGTCATTAGAACATTATTAAAGAATTTTGTTAACCAAAACATCCCCTCCTTACATAAGCATGTCCAAGCCTCAATAATGATATAGTCTGGTCTTGATTTCATCTTCTTCGGGGAAAATTCCATCTCAAACTTCCCTAGTCCATGATAAAACCTATATACTCTAGTTGCATTAATGCTATCATCTTCATCTCCTTTTATGTTTTCTAAATGTTTTCATTTAACGATTTTCCATAACCCTCAATATTGATACAGTCTGGTCTTGATTTCATCTTCTTCAGTGAAAATTCCATCTCAAACTTCCTTAGTCAATGATAAAACCTATACACTCTGGTTCCATTAATGCTATCATCCTCATCTCCTTTTATGTTTTCTAAATGTTTTCATTTAACGATTTTCCATAACCCTCAATATTGATACAGAAAATAAAAAAAAAAAAAAAAAAAAAAGGGTTCAAGCTTTATAACAAAATAAATCATGAATTTTTAATTGTTAATTTAAACCCTAATCTTTTGATTTTTTTTTCAATTTAAACCATTTACCTATTTTTGTTAAGTAAAACCGATGAAAAAAAATATTTTAGTCATTAAACTCAATGTAGATATATATAAAATGTCTAAAATACACGTTTTATGGAATTTAATGACTAAAATATTCATTCATTCATCGATTTTACTTAATGAAAATAAACAATAATTTATATTGAAAACAAATTTAAGTTCAAGGTTTAAATTGATAAAATTAAAAACTTAAGACTTATTTTGTTACAAAATTCAAACACTTGATTTTTTTTTTTTTTTAGTATCAGTATTACGAGTAATATTTGGAACTAAGTTGCATCAACACTAAAATTTAATCCTTTCACCATCCACTCAGATAATCAAAAGGTCCTCAAAAAGATTTTACAAAACTCTTGCAACCGACAAGACCTTTACCCACATCCATTCACCCAATCCAGGGTTTAGTTTAGCAAATATTCCCAAAACAAAAAGAAAACAAAAAAGCTTAAATAAACAAGAAATAATAATTACAATTATAATGTTTTGTCAGATTAACTGGTAAGGATTCTTTAGTTGGCTAAGTGGCTCAGACATATATAGGTTAGAATCATTTGATCCCCTCAGCATTTACCAATGCACGTGGTTTGTGATAGTCTGGGGACTTGGGAACTTATTTCAACCCAAAATCAGTTGGGGCACCCTCGCATACCCCATGTTTATTTTATATGTCTAGAGATCTTTTGAGCCCAGTGATCAAAAGATTCTAAAGAGAAGACTAGTTTTGTGTGAAGTCATGTGCATGGCACACATCTAAGAAAAATAATCCAAAAAATATCAAGTTCACAAAGAACCAAGAACCATAGTAACGATCATAAAATAATCAGATTGAGAAAACGAAACTAGTAATTTCTTTCAGACTTTCCTACCTTCTTCAGAGAAGACAAATACACCTCCAAGCATATCATCATCGTCCCCATCTTCCTCAGGTTTCTCCTTGTCGCAAGGACTATTACTGCTGTCAACATCAGTAACAACTTCTGTTAATTCGGGGCATTCATCTTGAATTGATGCTTTACAGTATTCCTCTTCAAAATATTGCCCAAAATCTAGTGGGTCATGCATATCATCATGCACTGGCCCCTCGTCAAGAATATTCATACTCAAATCGGAACGGTTGGAGCTTGAGTTTGAAGCTTCACTGGTCACAACACTACTTGAAGACGGAACCTCAGCGGCTGTAGTTCCTCCAGAAGGTGCACCAGCTTTTGGTAAAGAAGTATTTATGACACGACTTTCTTCAACAGAAGAAATGCGAGAAGTTGATATATCAGCTTGTTTGAAGGACCTTTTGTACAGTGGAGGAGACAATAACATGGCATTATGTCCTTTAACCCCATCACTCTCATTTGCAGTTAGGACAATGTGAGGATAAGACCTCAAACTATCAGTTTGATCTAAATCATTTATAGCTGCAGGTGTTTTTGATGACCCTGATGAAAATGCCAATGGTATTACGAGTTAATGACTTAATATTAGTACCAAGTTTTAACATAATCACGTAATAAGAAAGGTGAACTTCAGAAACAAAAAATAAATAATAAAATAAATAAATAAATTATCTTACCAACATCCAGATTTTCAAGTGAGCCAGGTGACACTAGCTTAGTATGGGAAATCACAGCATCTTCTGAAAACTTCTCTTTACCACCATGAGAAGTAGAAGATAAAGTCGAATATTTCCCCCCAACCAGGCCCCTGAAGAAAACATCAAAGGAACATCTTAACACATAACAAACATTAGTCATAAATTAACCAGCAAACCCTTAAAAATTCCATGAGTGGCTCTAAAATCATGTTAATAAGAGAATCCTTTTGTTCATGAAACATCATATGACCACAGAAAGAACCCTCTAGGCACCATGGTTTACTCAAATGCCACAAACTATGTCAATCACTGATATAAGCAAACCAAAAAGGTTGTGAAGTTTTCACATGTAAATGTTCCAAAAAAATATATATAGTTTCAGAAGAGCTTCTGAGAAATCTTCTCCCTTGAACATTCATAAACCCACATGGAAGTTCCAGCATAAAGCTTAAAGAATATCATCACATCTTTCCACTACTTGGAAGACAATCTCATTTAGACATAAAGAACTCATTCTTCAGGTCAAACATCTTCTGCTGAAACAAATGGAAAGGAAAAGAAATAAAAATAATTATTTTCCCCACATTTATGTACTTGTACCTAATCCTTGATATTCATGTAGGCTGTGGTCATAAACTATAAAACAGTAGTGGGAGAAGATGATCTCATTTTAATCTAAAGTACTCAAATGGAAAGGAAAAATAAAAATAATTATTTTCCCCACATTTATGTACTTGTACCTAATCCTTGATATTCATGTAGGCTGTGGTCATAAACTATAAAACAGTAGTGGGAGAAGATGATCTCATTTTAATCTAAAGTACTCATTCTTCAGGTCACATCTTCCCTGAAAAATCTTCTGCTGAAACAAATGGAAAGGAAAAAACTGAAATAATTATTTCCCCCATGTTTATGTACTTGAACCAAATCCCAAGTTTTAAAGTAGGCTGTGGTCATAAACTATAAAACAGTAGTGGGAAAAGAGACCACTTGAAATCCCCATTTGGGAAGGCAGCCAACTACCACCAAACAAGGTCCTATGTCTAGAAAATGGTCAAAAGATATTGTGCATTATAAATTCGTCTCTTCGCTCAGATGACTGGTTCTATTCTCTTTCTACAGGATTTAGGGTACAGATCCATCTCTCAGAATGAAGCAATGAAGAGTATTACTAAATTACTAATGATGGTAAAAATCTAAAACTACATGGTTCCAATATATATCATAAAGCTGAAACTGAGTCTGCTACATAAAGTGCCTGTTTGGCAGAAATTATTTACAGCTTATTTCAGCTTTCAGCTTAATTTAAGTTATTTTGATGTGTTTGGTTTAACTTATAGCTTATAGCTTATAGCTTATAGCTTTGTGGAAGTCAGAAATCAGCTTATTCTTTGAGTGGGGCAGGAGATGCTTTAAGAATAAGCTGGAAATCAGCTTAAACTGAAAGTTATAAGCTATAAGCTGTTTAGGCATAAGCTATAAGCACTTTCTCACAGCTCTACCAAACAGGACTAAATTCATGAAATTACTTGAAATATAAAATGGATTCATCTTTAATGCTACTATAAACAATAGAATGGCCACTGATTCCATATCAAATAACCAAACCAAACTAATTCTTGTATCCCAATCAAGTGAGGTCAACTACATGAATCCTTTTTTTCACCATTCTGCTCTGTCATTATGGTGATCATATTACTCTACCTTACTGTTGCATCTAGAAGTCTTTGATGTACGTGACCAAACCCTCTTAGCATGTTCTCTTTCAACTTATCTTTAGTAGATGCCACTCCTACAACTCATTTGTATATTCCCTGGTCTTATAACACATCCATCTAAGCATTCACCTCTAAGCTACACACATTTTATGAATGTAAAGCACTATTGGCCAACATAATGTTCCATAAAGCATCACTGACCTTATCTATAAAAAATTTCTTTGAATTTTTCTGGTATTCGTTGATGAAATTAAAATGTCAAATGCACTTCTCCATTCGAGCCGACTTATTTTGATTCTATAGACACATCATTTCCAAACTAACCATCTTTATTCATAATCAAACATAGGTAAGAAAATATTCACTATTTGTTATCTCTTGGTTTTCAATATTCACTTCTCCATTATTTCTACTTCTACTGTCACAAAAATTACATTCTACATATTCAGTTTTATTTTTACTAATTTTAAACTCTATTTGGCTATCTCCATATTTCTAGTTTAATGTTAATTCCTTGCTTCATTTCATCCATTAAAACAATATCATCTTGAATATGTTTAGTTAATCCATCCATGACTAAGGCAAATATATAAGGACTCAAATATGACCCTTGATGCAACCTTACAGTGATGGGAATTTCACTAGACCTAATTATAGTCGCGACTCCATCATACATGTATTTTATTGCATCAACATACCCATTGGTCACACTATTTTTCTCCAACACCCATATTATATTTCTAGGAATCCTATTATAAGATTTTTCTAAATCTATAAAAATCATATGTGGGTCCTTCCTTTTCTCTCTATGCATTTTTATTACTCTTTTTAGTAAATATATATTACTTCTATAGTTGATTTACTGGGTAAGGGTGTAAACGGTTTGGTTTAGTTGGTGTTGAGGGTAAGTTTAGCACCGAACCGAACCTTTCGGTTTTAATGTTTAAGGAACCGATACAGACCGTATGCTATGGTTCAGTTTCATCAGTTTTGTCGATTTGATATAGAAGAGGGATTTACATGAGGTTTTAAGGGTTTATAAAAGTTTGAAGAATTTCGCATTAAAAATAAATAAATAAAATGTATGAAAGTTCATCTATAAATGTTTCTCTCTAGTTTTTATCACAAAAGTGTATTATATTAATCACTAATCTTATAATGCTTAAAGAATTAAAATATAAAAGTACTTATATATAATATTCAGTCGGTTTGGTTTACATTAGTATAAAAAATTTCAAAACTAAAACAAATCGTATGTTGTGAAAAACAGACCGAAAACTAAAATTTCGGTCGATTTTGATTGGTTGGTTCGGTTTCATCCGTTTTTCTTACACCCCTATTAATGGGCATAAATTATATGATCCATTAACTCAATATCACTACAGTTATTGCAATTCTAAATGTTTTCATTTAACGATTTTCCATAACCCTCAATATTGATACAGTCTGGTGTTGATTTCATCTTCTTCAGTGAAAATTCCATCTCAAACTTCCTTAGTCGATGATTCTATACACTCTGGTTCCATTAATGCTATCATCCTCATCCCCTTTTATGTTTTCTAAATGTTTTCATTTAACGATTTTCCATAACCCTCAATATTGATACAGTCTGGTGTTGATTTCATCTTCTTCAGTGAAAATTCCATCTCAAACTTCCTTAGTCAATGATAAAACCTATACACTCTGGTTCCATTAATGCTATCATCTTCATCTCCTTTTATGTTTTCTAAATGTTTTCATTTAACGATTTTCCATAACCCTCAATATTGATACAGTCTGGTGTTGATTTCATCTTCTTCAGTGAAAATTCCATCTCAAACTTCCTTAGTCAATGATAAAACCTATACACTCTGGTTCCATTAATGCTATCATCCTCATCTCCTTTTATGTTTTCTAAATGTTTTCATTTAACAATTTTCCATAATAAATTAATGGGACATTTATAAAAAAAATCCCAAGGTTTGAGCCTTGTAACAAAATAAATCCCGAGTTTTTAATTTTGTTAATTTAAACCCTAATCTTTCGATTTTTTTTCAATTTAAGCCATTCACCTATTTTCGTTAAGTAAAATCAACAGAAAAATAGTATTTTAGTCATTAAAGTTAATGTACGTATGCATAAAATGTCTAAAATATACTTTTCATTGAGTTTAATGACTAAAATACTCATTTTTTGATCAATTTTCATGGAAATAGACAAATGGTTTAGATTGGAAACAAATCAAAAGTTTAGGATTAAAATTGACAAAATTAAAAACTCAGGGTTTATTTTGTTATAAGCCTCAAATCCTAGGTTTTTTTTTTTTTCATGATTTCCCCGAAATTAAGAATATCAAACATTTACTACTGCTTCACTAAACAAGTAGCGTCATGCCATATGAATTTCTACCTTTATTTGTAATGAAATATTTAAAAAGATAGAAGGGAATGGAAATATAGGGGCGTGGAAAGATGAAGATTTACTACACTTCAAGAAAGAAAAGCCAAACACAACCAAACCCAAGATAGATCCGCCAAAAATCCCTTTAACATGAATCCCAATAACTAACCCAAAAAACCATAAAAGTCAAGGTACAAATGAAATTTTTATCTTTTCATTTATATCTTCGCATGATCATTGATTGAGTGTGGAGTGTGGTGAACAAGGAATGTAAACACATTCAAACTGAACCAGGAAAGAAAATTGGTTCCGATCTGAACGACCCACAAAAACCGTTTCAAATTGGAAACCAGATATTTTGTGAAACCATTCAAACCAACCACGATTCACAACAGCCAGCCAGTTTGAGAGAGCTCAACTGTAGTCTGTCCAAAACATTGTTGGGGGAAAGTTTCAAACACATAGCCAACTGAACAAGAGGCAGCCACTGTAACCACTGCCGTTTTTTATATTTTGGCAAGCAACTACTAATCATTTAATGTACATAGAAGCTAGTTTTTACTTGGAACTAATGTATAAAAAATTAAAATTAATTACAATTAATTAATTAATTTAAAGGGGGCAGTTTGTTAAGAATCATATAATGCCACACCAAAAAAACAAAAAACAAAAAAAAAAAGAAGTAAGAATTCCAATACACATTTCATATATTCCCAAACACTTTTATATATTTCCAAACACTGTTTGCATATTTCAATACAATTTTTACATATATACCAAAATTAGGATTTTTCTTATTTCAATAGAAATGAGATATTAAATTTGATTCAGAGCAGAAGTTGAGACCTGCATTGGTTTTTCTTATAAGAAAATTTAATTTTTTAGAAATTGTTTTTTATAATTTTAATATATTTATGAAGTCACAATTTGATTCCAGTTGACCCAATGGTTGAACTAATGACAATTGACCCGGTCTCTTTTCTAGTTTACTCCATGGTTCAGGTTTCAAAAAATTGCTTAGTAAGCTTTGTATCCAATCTGTGTACACAAGGCAAATGCATGACGAGTGGAGAAGAAATATTTTAGTTCTTATTAACTATAAATAAAAATAAATGAGATATCCAAAATTGCAACAACTATAGAGGTATTAAGTTGATAAGTAATACAATTAAATTGTTGGAGTGAGTGATTGAGCATTGTTTAAGAATTGCAATAACAATGTCAAAGAATCAGTTGGATTTACGGAAAGTAGATCAACTATGGAAGTGATACACTAAGAAGTAAGAATATTAATAGAGAAGTACAAAGAGCATAGACGGGATCTTTATAAATTTATTTATTTTAAAATTACGATAGGGTGCTTAGAGGCCAAAACATATAATATGGTTAGTGTTAGAGACAAAGTGTGACAAAGGAATATATTAATGTAATAAAAGACATGTATGATGTGACTATGACTACACTTGGATTACAACTAGTAAATTTTTAATCATTATAAGATTGCACCAAAGATTAGCTTTGAGTTCTTACTTATTTGCCTAAGTCATTGATGAAATAACTCAACACATTTAGGATAATGTCCCACTCATTGTATATGTCGTTCATAGATGATATTGTTCTAGTGGATAAAACTAGGGGAGTAATTACCGTTACATTAGAAATCTAGAAAGAGATACTTGAGTCAAAAGGATTTAAATTAGACTCTTCTATGTGCCCTCGCTCCCCACCCTAGCTATTGCTTTGGAAGTTGGAAGGTCTGAAAGATATTAGTTACAAGAAGTTGAATGAATAAAAGAGAGTTGCTAGGAAAATGTAGAATCCCATGCTTCGGCCGAAGATGGGTTTTTCTAATATAGTTGATTCATTTGAATGCCTATTCAGGAATCTTTAATCCAACTATTAGTGACTGGAAAATTATCTCAGAAATATCATTGACAAGTAACACGAACATGCACACAGATAACTGAAATTACCTGTCATCACTCCAGTCTGACTGAATCCTGTGGAAACGTTCAAAAACAGGCAGCAAATCCTTCCGCTTTATCTCAACCTCGTGAACAGGAATCTTGTCAATCTCAATCTCGTCATCCCCAAGAAGACTCATCCTAAAGAAATGTATCTAGCAGATAGGAGGAAAGATCATAAGCGTACTTAGGAACAGTCATATAGCAGCAACTCATCATTAAACTAAGAAAATACCTTGGACTTTTGCCAAATTGGTATCCTCCCAGACCGTATCTGCACCTCTGCATTAGAGAGATACCAATGAGAATGTTCATGTGGCTTTACCAAATCTTTTTCCCCAGTATCATTATCTTCGTAGTCAAGAGTATCCATGACCATTGCTGCAGCTTTTTGTCCACAAGGAGCAATCCCATTAATGCATTCCTCTCTTTCAAGCCAATCTACTCTTCGGCAGACATCCCACCATTGAACAGGTTCAGATTTCACACGTAACTCTTCCTCTTGCATCTGCACCAACGAACCTGTCCCAGCTCTTGAAGCAGAGTCACCATGTTCTCCCCCCATTGAAGGCAGAAGTTCATATTGAATTACGTTACCAGAAGGAGCATAAACCAATAGGTGCTCTAAAGTGTTGCCATTTGAAAGAGCAGGTTGCATATGGGAATGCACAGACCTGTGAAAAATGGCGGCGACAACACCAGATGGCACAGAAATCTTTCCTGCTGCAGAAGATGCAGCATTGCTGACTGTATTTAGCCATCCAGAATTACCAAGTCTTATCCTGCTAACCACGGAAAGAGTTGCAGGTTGTGGAGGTGAATGAAAAGACAGTTGACTTGTCATAAGAGATGAAGAAGACCACCACGGATGGGATAGGATAGGTACAAGGCTAGGGCCATCAACATGAGAGTTCTGTATTTGAAGACCAGTCTCACCACCAAAAGGTGATAGAACAAAAATATGGCAAGTTCCCCTGGATGAAACAATAGCTACCCACTGGCTGTATTGACTAAAACAAATGTCTTGAATCACCTGTTACATAAAAACAGCATAGTGAAAATTTGTGTCAATAAAAAGCCATGAATATCCATAAAAATAGCCGTAAGCATCATAAGATAAAGAATATACAGCTGAAGTCATGCCACGATGGAGCTTGTAAAGGTGCACATGAGAAGAACTCCAATCATAGCTTTGAGTTCCTGATCCATTTTGTGATGGCATGATCCGGAAGATATTTATATTGTGCCCATGTACAGAGGCAGTAACCAGAAGGGTCCCACTTGGGTCGAAACATAGAGCCGATATAGGACTAGTATGAGCCCTAAATTGCGACACAACTGCTTTAGACATAAAATCTCTTATAACAACCTGCAATAAACAACAATAAATATCAAGTTATGCTCACTTTATTTATTCTGATTATCAGCAAAAGCATTAACCGCATCAGTTAAAACATCAAATTGCTCTGGTATTTTTGGAAATGAGAGTATTACCACCAGCTGTAAGCATGAGCGGTATTACCAACCACCCAGGCACCCACAAAAGGAGAGGTGGTGTAGGGTTTAAGTAACAAATTAGGGACTGGTGCATTTGTGTCTTATGCATCAACAAGAAAAGATACAACCAAAATAAAAGAAAAATCATTGCAAGAGAAAACCCTCACATTTTTGCTTTTTCTTTTTCTTTTTCAATTTTTTACTTGTGAGGAAAGCAGGAACTGAACAGAAAACCTCATGACAAAATCGTGGATTTCAAAATAATTTTTTCATCAAAAATAACAACAATTGTTATACAACTATAAAGAACAAAAAAATAAATAAAAATTAACATCATTTCACTTATCATAGAAATCGAAGTCTGCGTTTCCTCATCCTTCATAAACATGAAGTGCTGCAAATATCAATTTTCCATGAAATTGTTGTTAAACTGTGTAGACTAACCGTTCCAGCAATGTCAGTTTCATTTGATTGTGCTGCAGCCCTGCCAACTTTCCAGGCCAAATTTGATGACACGGGAGAGCTAGAACCATCAGGATGAAGATCATTATAATATTTAGTTAAAGTTTTGTAGCCCTTGTCTCCCAGATTCATTAAACCAGCAGCTAACTGCTTACTTGATTCCATTGCATACCGAGCCACCAGACTTCCATTGCCAGGCGAGGTAGAAGGGCTTACACCTGGAGACGGGCTAAGGTTTTGGGGACTTAGACGTCCTGTGTTTGATGACAATGGGTTGTTGGATGCATATGCTAACCATCTGGTGCCCACAGCCATTGGGCCATAGCCAATATTAATTCCAACCATTCCCGGACCCCCCAACTGAGGAACAGGATAAGTAAGGACACTGAATTTACTCTCAAGAGTAAGAGCGTCAAAGCAGTATATCTGCCAGCAAAACATTAAAGATATTAGTTAATTTCAAACTCTTCAGAACCACAAGTAAACTTCTTCAATATTACGTAATCAAGTTTTTAGACAAAACAGCCTTAAGTGAACATTTTTTTTTACTAGCAGCAGTCGTCACAGCACCCTATCTTATTCCTCTGGCCATTAGAGGAACTTAGCAAGCAATCCCTTAAAAACTCAACAGACAGTAATAAAAATAATAATTCACTCTGTTCAGTTTTGCTGAGGATATTTCCAAAGTAAATTATTAACTAGTGTCTCCAACCTGGATAAAGTTTATCCACATCATGGTCACTGCCATTGGCAGGAAACATCTTCTGAAGATGGAATTCAACATATGCTACTCAAATTGCAACCAAAACAGTTATGTCCAACAAAATAATTTAACATAACGAGATGCTTACTTGTGCAGCAAGGCCCACAACCACTGTTCGTGGACTGCATCTAACCATATACACAGTTGACCGGAATCTCAGAACATGAACATAGTTGTGAGACCTTAATGAATAAAACCGAACAGCTGTTGGAGAGTTGAGAAGGCTCCCTGTTTGAGGTTCAATATAACCATCTCTGACATCTCTCCCATTTTGCATGGGAGATAAGCTTCCTGTTTCATCACTTGCAACAACCAAAAGCAAGGGATGTGATGTTCTAAATCCTTCCCGACCCTCGGACTTAGCAGGGATGGGCTGCATTTGTAAAAATGTGACTGGATCATCACGCTTCGAAACCAATTCACTGAAATTAGAAGCATCTTCTACATCAAGGACTTGAAAGCCATTGGAGTAACCAAGTAAGAGAACGTGCCTGACGACAGATGGGCTAATTTCTAGTTTGTCAAAGGAAGCCCATAAAACCTGTTTGGTCAAAAGAGAATTCAGAACATGTTCATGTGAATGATGTCGGCGCGTAGGCAAAAAACAAGAAAATTAAAGCACATAACAGCAGCATGCAAAAGGAAAAGGGAAATGTCAAAAACATCATAAAAGCTATCCGTGCATAATATGGAAGGGGGAAAAAAATCAATTCAACCGTGTATATCACTCACACTATTATAAAGGGAGAACACTAATTTGGTCTTCCCCCATTTTGAAGACTGGTCAATTTCAGTATTCCCTAAAAAACAAATTATTTTAAATAATTTTGGATAGTTGATTATTAAAAGGTTTTTCTATGGATTTTGCAATCACCTAAAAATATGAATTAAAACTCCTATTTTATTGTAGAAATAAACAAGTTAGAAACTAGTTAACTGATTAGTAAGGAAGGAGCAGTTGGATAAGATAAAGAAATCTGAATCCACAAAAACTCTCACTACATATTTGGGAGAAACTTCCTGCAAGTCACAATATTTTCTCTCTTTTCAATGTTTCAACTTTGAAGCCTTGTCAATTTTCAGTACTCCTTCAAAAAACAAATCATTTCAACTAAATAATTTTGGATTGTTGCTTCTTAAAAGGGCTTTCTATGGAATTTGCAATCACCTAAGATTATGAATTAATACTCCTATTATGTTGTAGAAACAAAGAAGTTAGAAATTGGATAATTGATTGGTAGGGAGGGAGAAGTTAAATGGATAAGATAAAGAATCTGATCCTACCAAAAACTCTTTCACATCAAATTTGGAGAAACTTCCTGCAACTGCTCATGACATTTTCTCTCTTTCAATGTTGCACTGGCATAGCTTATGAATTCCCTCTAGTTGTATGTATTCAACAAATGAACACCTCAAAATTTTAAAATCTACTGAGGCATCAGACAGAAATCTCCTCTATAATTTGTTCCAAGTTATTTTAGGTTGTCTTCCCACTAATCCATGACCAACTAAATTATTCGTACTAATCAAATCAGTGTTTAGAAAATATATTTACCTAATGAGCTGACCAAAATTATTGTAATTATACATTTTTATCCATATTTTTTAGTAAGATCTTTATCCACATGTTATTTAATAGTGTCAATAATATTTTATTCTTCTTACACATTCTGAGAAGATTCTTGTGGGAACAATGTTCATACAAATATGCCTTTCATCTAACTCAGAAAGTATTAATTTGACCCATCATGTAACTTATAAGTTATAACTCACTAATGGTATGACTCTCGTATATATCCAGACGAGGTTGGTACAAACCTAGTTAATGCCTTTCCTGTTAAAAAAGTACTTAACAAAACTTTAATCCCATCCAGTCCTCCAAGCAGCTCCATATATATGTATCTTCCATTCAAACCTATACAATCATGTTTCTCTTCCAATATCAACCTATGTTCCTCTTAGCGTACCTTTGGCTTTTTGCGCTTGAACTTGAATCAATCCGCCCCTTCTTGCCTGTGTTGTAATTGATATCTGTAATGCACATTCCCATACCAAATTAGACAACTTGGGCTCATCTTGTCTTCGATAGATACCACCCAGATTTCCTCAAATATTTTAAAAGATCGTAGCCATTGCACAAGGATCCTGCTTATAGCAGGGCCCGGGAGAGATAATAGGTAAGCAATCTTACCTCCACTTTTTGTGAATTGGCTTATTCCTATGCTATGAAGCACGGATACGGGTAGGAGTATTGGTACTGGTATGATACGGGTACATCGATAAGGTAAAATCCAAAAAACGAAGAGTAAAAGTACAGATACGGCTTGGTACATTTGTAAAAAAATATTTATTTTTAATTTGAAGTAATAAAAAAATTGATTAAATGGTTTAATTTGTTAAGATTCAACCTACAATTAACATTTAATACCAAAAATAAAGGTAAAAAAAAAACAACGTCCAATTAATACACATTAATGTGTGTTTGGGAGAGGAAATATTGAATACACATCTAACCTTTGGCATAATGCACAAAGTGATGGTCCCAAGACTTGAACCGATAACCTTAAGGTTATTAGGCCAAGTCTTAACCATTGAACCAATGGTCACCCCTGTAATGCCAAAAATAAAGGTATAAACTAAAATTAAATGTTATTATATTAAACAACTTACAAACCATAGCTTAATTTTAAAATCATGCTAAGCCTAAAACTTAAAATAAAAAAGAAGTCTAGTGAAATGAATTTTATCTCTATAATAGAAAAAATATATTATTTCGACTGAAGTACGGTATGGCTTAAGTATATACTAGGTACGTCTCGATACGCCAAAAATTAAGAAGACAAAAATTTGGGTATGTGTTTTGAGCACTCGGTACATATGCAGAAGTACCATATGAAATACCATATGCCAGAAAGTATCAGGTACGAGCACAGCATGTTTGTCAACATACCCATGCTTCATAGTTCCTGTGACTCAAACTCACATTCACAAGGTTGGGGGCTCATAGCACTTGCCATTGTGCCAAGTTACCACATCTAAAAACAAGAAAAGAAAAGAAAAGAAAAGAAAAGCTACTCACAAGTGCATTATTACTAACTAAACTTCTTATTCTTGTCTTTTCATGTATGACCACAAATCCATTTCAACATCCTCGTGTCACTGTCATTTACTTTTCATTCACCCTTAGTGCACCAAAAAATATAGATAGTATTATAGTAGTGTTATAGCTTAACTGACGGGGATCACAAAGGCATTGGATTACCAATAAAGGAAACGAAACGAAAATTAAAATCCTATAAAGCGTAATTTCTACTTATATTAAAATTACAATACCTATAAACGAAATTACGCTTTATAGGATTTTAATTTTCGTTTAGTTTATTGGTAATCCGATGCCTTTTCGATCCCCATCATCAAACAACCTTCAATATTCAGCTAAAAACATAACTGAATAAATCTTAATTATTCTACTCCAACCAACTCAAGCATTACACATCACAAAATCAAGGAAGTCAAGCTCCAATATAACCTAAAACTTATTGTCAGACAACAAGCACTTAAACCTCAGTTCATCGCTTCATCCCCCAAGATGAAATTCTCCAGTGACCTGGCAAAGATGTTATCATGACAGTACATATTCTCAAAACTAGTACATGCATGACAGATGTGAATTCATAATGCTTAATTTCTGTAAGGGAAGGACATCTACTTCCGACAGCCCTAAAATGTCTTGCACATAGTTTTCCACTTGCAAATACCAGTTTGATACAACTATCAATTGCCTATGACAGCAGGATTGTACACACACATTATTCATATATATAAGTTTTATGTACTTTTTATAAGTAGGATAAGATAGAAAGAGTATATGATGCTTGTCTTTATGTTAGAAGCACACCCTGAAATGTGAGAAGTGCGCTTCTAAGATGGCACAAGAAGGTTATGAATATGGCACATGCTCAACAACCAACACATTGTTTGTTGGACAGAAGTTTATCTCCAAGTACTCATTCACAAACTTTAAGAGATGTTTATCAGCACATGAGCTAATAATTATAAGTACTTGTTACTAAATGTGCTTCAAATCGAATCACTAATTATAGTATCAACCAATGGACAAATATTAATTACCAAGAAAGGGCAGCCCAATGCACCAGACTCCCCTCATTGCCGGATCTAGGAACAGTCAGATGTGTGTGGCCTTACCCCCTTGCATGTGGAGAGACTATGTCCATAATTATCAAGGGAAAAAAAAAAAAGGCATCCTCAAGTTTAACATTATAAAAAGTCATGCATTATGGTGTCACAAAATTCTTACTAATAGTATCTTCCTATGTGAAAAACCACCAACAGACACCACAAAACACATCAACAAATGGCCAAGGATATGTCGTATTTTCTTCATTTTAAATATTTTTGATATTGACCAATAATAAGTTCACTGATTCCTTCCTTAGCATAAATAAACCAATCCCAAACAACATCCAGAAACAACACTGTTAGGCTGTGTTTGGGTGGAAGATTTAATAAGGAAAATGGAAATGGAAAGGGAAAGGGAAAGGGAAATAGAATGAAAAGGAGAAAGAATTGATAGGATTCGAATTCCAAGCTATGTTTGGTTGAGTTGGGAATTGGAGAAAGAAGAGAGCCTACGTAAACCCAAAAGACAAAAAATGACATTGCATTTCCTTCTCACTTTCTTTTTCTTTGTGTTTTCCATTATAACCAAACAACATCAAATCCCCCAACCAAACACAACCAAACACAGTCTTAAAAAAACCAAAAAATAGAACAAAATAAACACAATCAAAGACCCGTCTGGTTGCTATTGGAGACATAGTTGCTGGACAAAAAATGATCCACTCTCTAATTTGAGAATAATTAAGACAAAATTGCTATTGGTAACTTTGAGAAACCCAATCTTTGCTCAGAAAAGAAAGAAACCCTCTCACTCAACCAATAGGCCTGGCCTGTTTGGTTACTAGGAAATGTCTAGATAAAGCTGAATCACCCGAAAAAGAAAGAAAGGAAATTTTGCTAACAAATATAAATCCAACTAATTGACTTATTTGAATTAATTTTTTAAGTTTCCTAGAAACCAAAAAAAACAAAATCAATACTACCTTATCTAGCAAATCAAAATACTTCCCAAAAATAATTTTCTAAGCAAGCAAACACAATTTCGAATACATGGCAAAATTAACTCCACAAACAAACTACAATCTCAACTATCCAAATCAAAATCCGAACTCAACAACTATCAACTAAAACCACGCAATCAAACAATGATAACATCAAATTTAAAAATTTAAAAAAAAAAAAATCAATATTTAGTTATTTCGATGAAATCGAGCAAAACCTGGTGTTTGTGGTGGTCGCTTGAAATAGAGCCGGCGACGGAAGCTCCGGCGGAGCGAACGTTGGAAGAGACAGTCTTCAAACAAGAGGAAAGAAACCTCACAGAATTGGGGATGAAGGTGTGCTTCGTCTTGTTGCTTTCTTGTGTTTTCTTCATAATCAAACACTTCTTCAAGTTTCACCGCTCACCGGGGACTTACCGGCAATGATAACTGTTCCGCCGCCGTCTCCTCCTCCCTCCGCCTCCGCCGCCGCCGACCGTTGCCGGAAACTGACGATCAGATAGAGCATTTAAAAATCGAGACCGCCGGAATCTGACACACACAGCAGGATCAAGAAGTCGCCGGCGAGAAAATGGTGTCTGTCGGTGTTTTTCGTGGTGTTGGGTTTGACCTTGGCTCAGACGGTTTCTCTCTCTCTCTCTCTCTCTCTACCTCTCTGTTGGGGAATTTTTTGCATGTTAATTTTGCGCTGTAAGCAACTTTTGTTGAATTTCACAAACCCCCCTCCAATTTTTTTATAATTTCATTTTGCTCCACCAAATACTTTTTGGAATTGCATAATGAGCATAATAAAATGTTTTGAACTGTTTTGGAATTGGTTGTTTTACTTGATTTTCTTACTTTTTACGATAAAATATACAGAAAAATATAAATAAAGTTGAATTTTTTATCGTGATTTTTTTACTATTATAGTGTCTTTCTAAAACAAGTCGTAATAATACATATCATCTTTTTACCTGCACCTTCAACCTAACATTATGTTTGAATAATAAAAAAATAGGAATAGAAATTTGAATTTTGTTCTTAATTTGTTTCATTTCATTCAATAAAACTTCATTCTTACATCTCTATGAATATCTCACATTTTTTAAAAAATGTGATTGATTTAAGAATAATTAAATATACAAATCCACAATATATTAAAAAAATTATTTGCGTAAAAAATTTACCCCCATCTAAATATCTAAATTATCTTGACATACAAATTTCAATATCAGTAACTGATAGAAATTCCAATTATAATGGTATTTTTATTTATTTTATTTTATTTCTACCATGCAAACATAATTTAATGATCAAACACTAATAAAAAATGGACACTAACACTCTATTTGGATTGGAGGAGAGAAGAGATAAAAAGAAAAGAAATAATAAGCTTGTTTAGTTTTGGTTTTCAGAAAATATTTTTTAAAAAATTTTACTTTTTTATTTTTTGTTTTCAATAAATTTTTTTAATATTCTAAGTAATTTTTTAAATTTTTAGACACACCTAACATAAATACACTTAAAAAGTTTAATATTTGTGAAAAAAACTTTAAAAAATCCACTAAATATCAAAAATAAAAAAATTAGTACATTTTTTATATTTGTTAATTTTTTAAAATATTTTTTTCACAAATATTTTACTAATTAGGTACATCTAAGTAAGGTGCATTTAAAAAAATTAGAAAATTGCTTAAAATTTAAAAAAAAAATCACTAAAAATAAAAAAATACGAAAAATAAAAAATTCAATTTTCAGAAAATTGAATTCAAAAAACTGAAACCAAACACACTGAATTATATTTTTATACTATCATGTTTGGATGGGTGAAAAGACAGTATATAATAGAGAAATATGAGTGAGGTTTCTTTTTATTTCAGGTCAATTTTGGTATTATAGTTACTTTATAGCCAACCAATTTATTTGTCACCAAATCTCATCACTTTTGGTAAGAAACAAAATAGATTTAATGAAAAAAGGTTTTTTTTCTCACCAATTTTAATCATGAATTTATAAATAATAAAAAAATAAATTTGTTCCACACCTTATAATCTCAGTGATATTTTGACAAAACTCTAGAATGAGCAAGTTTGGATTCAATAGTAATAATGTACTAATGTCTTTATTTAATTCAATTTTTTCCTTGAGTAGCAACGTTTTATTCGAAATTTCAATTAAAATTTTACTATTCAATTTAGGAATTAAAATCAAATAGGCATCATCATGAATGGATAAGTGTGAAAGAGGGGGGCTACTAATGTAAATTGAAATGTTTGGGGGGAGGTTGTTGATATTAATCATAAAGTACAGGAGAAGAATGAAAGATGAAGCAAAATAGTTTACGTCACGACATAGGATGAGAATATCTTAAATCGGATGAGGAAGCAACGATTATTAATCATTAAAGGTACGGAAAAGTTTTTTTTTAGCAAAATCATAATTCCACTATCCATTTTGTCATTGTCCCAATAAAAAGAGTAAATGGCGTAAAATGATTTCACTTTATGAAAAGTGTGATCTTATTAGCACTCATAAATTATTAGGCAAATTATAAACGCCCTTTTGAAGTTTAGTGAAAGTATAAATTTTTTTTAAGGTTTGAAGAATTATATTTCGTTTTTTGAGGTTTATATTTTCATAACAAATTATTTCTTGAGATTTTTATTTTCATACAGATTCTCTTCTAATTTTTTCTAATTTATTATGAAAATTTGACCCTCATGAGGCAATTTGTAATTTCTCAAATCTCAGGGAGTGTTTGGTTGTATTTTCAAATTAACTTTCAACATGTGAATTCCCGCTTGACGTTTGGATAGGACACTGAAAATATGATTCCGCGTGTTAATTCAAATTACGGTTTGAAAATCTATTTGGCATCTCGTAATTCATTTCTCCGCTTCCAACGTGTCTGTCTTCTTCCTCTTTTGCTCTGAAAAGCTTCCCATTCCTTCTCCATCGTCTCTGAAAATTTCCCGTGACCCTCGTCTTTCTTTCTCTTTTGATCTGAAAAGCTTCCATATCTTTCTCCATCGTATCTCAAAATTTCGCGTGAACCTCATATTTCTTCTATGTATCAAACATCATACATGGAAGCTTCGACTATCTGATAGGAAACTGAGTGGGAGGTATGAGATGGGATGGCCGGCCGGATGACCGGCCGGTTAACCTCCCGGTTGTCCCGGTCCGACTTCCTGCTCTTCAACTCTGAAGCTAAGGTTCAGAAGGTTCAAGTTGTTATTTTTTTATAGAAAGGCTGAGGTTCAGAAGGTTCGGGTTGTTTTTTGTTTTTTATTTTTACTTTTTATTTCTTATCTATTATTTTTTTATAATATTAATAATTTTTTAATAATATTACATCCGTATACTGAATTACTAAATTAATAACGTGTAATAAATGAGAAAAAAAATTGATAATGTTTTGTAAGGTTTAAGTTATGATTTGTATTTTAAAATATTACACTTAGTGTATTTATGTTAATTTTTATTAATATGTATTCTTAAAAGTTGTTGACTTTAACAAAATTTTTAAAAAATATATAAAACGTATTGTAGAAGATGTTTGTACAGGCATAAAAAATGAATTGATAGAAAATTTAATTGACACAAAATAATTGACATAGATTTATTTTAAAATGAAAAAAAAAATTGAAAAAAAAATTATTCAAAAAAAAATACTGAAAAAAAATTAATTGAAAAAAAATCAATTTTTAATTTCAGTATTTTAAAAATAGTTTGGTTATTACTGTTGATAAAAAATACAGATATCGATATATGAGTTGTGTGTTTGATTATAAATTATTGATTGAATTAAGTTTTGAAAACTATTTCCAAAACACATCACTAAACAAATTTTCTTATTTCACATGTCACATCAAATTTTCAAAGCTTAATTCAAAATATATCTTCAAAACACATTTCAACACTCTATTTAAAAACCATAACCAAACAAATTTTCTACACTCAAATCATAATTCCACAACACACAAACTCAAAATACAACTCATACTCTCAAATCACATTTACAAAACTCTACCAAACGCTACCTGTATTTTCCCGAAACCTCGAGGGGGGTGTTTGTAATTTGCCCTAAATTATCTAGATCTTTATTTTTTTACCTTATTTGTAAATTTTAAAAAAATTTAATTTTTTTTTTCCTCTCAAATAATATTAAAATTATCCTTAAACATTTTACTTATTGAATGAACACCCCCATACCTCCACATCCAAAAAAAAAAATCTCCCTTCTAAAAAATCTTAACAAAACCTACTAAGAAGAAGAATCTCATCCTTTTCAAAAACCAGGAAGAAGAAGAAGAAGAAGAAAAATACTGTCTATATTCATATAAGTTACAACATGATATAACCTTTTGACTAACTACTACAGAGAGAGAGAGAGAGAGATCTTTATTTTTTGTTTTCAATCTCATTTGGACTATCTGATATGCTGACTTGTTAATCAACTGCTCTTGTTTAACATGGTATAGCCTTTTAATGTGCTCTCGTGTCTACCATAACATATCCATTTCTTCTCTCTATCTCTATCTTGGGACTGTGGCAGTGTGAGTGGATGTGTGTGTGGTGAGAATTGAAAGAGAGCTATAAACAAAATAGAGTTGTAGTGTACCCAAAAATGGCGAGTTTCTTTCATGTTCGAACTTATATTCCCGAACAAATAAGTTATGTTCGGAAATATGTTCCCGAACAAATAAATAATGTTCGGGCCTATATTCTTGAACTTGAAAAAATAAAATTTCTGAGAGTGTTAAGAATTTTAATTGTTAACTCGCCATCATCTTAAAATAAATAACAATACAAATTAAATTTCAAAATGTGATCAGCAAAACAAGTTCGAACCTATGAATAATGTCAGTTACCTATTTCCGAACAAATAAACAATGTTCGAGCCTGTTTTTCCAAATTCCAGTCATATGTTCAGGAATTCAGTTCTGAAAAAATAACGAACATATTTTATTATTTTTGTCTTTTTTTTCAAGAAACTTAGCTTTATAAGGCCATTCTCCTCTAGGCTAGAAACAATATTAAAGTTATGAATCTCCTCTAAGTTGTTATTGTTATACTCCTCTCGTCTTATAAAGTTGTGGTTGTAAGAAAAATTTTCACTCATTGTCATTACCGGAGAAGTGTAGGTAATTAAATGGTTGCCATTGTTACAGCCGGAATATTGCCTTCAAAGGCTTTTCAAGGTTTTGAAGGTGGGTAAGTTTTGAAGGTCGAATTTGGGGAAGATAGATGGGCAATATAGAGGTGGGTGCTCTCATAAACCCTAATTCATGATGTAGTGGGCGTGTAGGTTTAATTAATTGTGAGATGGAGTGTCCCAAAATTAATGATATTCTTTGTAGTAATTTTATTTGAGACTATTATTGTAATTAAAAGAAAAACTAAAAATTGGGGGTCTAAAATAATTTATAAGGTACTAATAGCAGCATCCTTATAAAAATTGTATTCGAATAACTTATGTTTCATTCAATTTTATCAAAATTCTTATAATCTATTAAGTCCTTATATAAAATGAAAAAAATTGTCACTAATTACATAAATTGATATAATCAAAGAAAATAATGAATATTGAAATAGATTAGAAAATTCAAAAAATTATAAATGGAATAGAATTTAATTTTTTTTGATAATGTAATTGCCAATCTAATTTGCAACTTGATTGTAG